GGAAACTGGGTGGTTTAAGTCAATTAAAGCTTTCTGTATTCATGTTTTTAAAGCAAGGAAACGCTCTAGCATCGATAGAAGAGAGTTCCATCTTGTTTTGCAATCCAAAATGAGCGAAAGCTCGCTGCCTTTCTCTTCTTTGACATATTTTTGCAAGACTGCATCATTTTTTGTCGGGGATCGTTTAAAAAAAACAACTACCTTACGGGCTTTTTTCACTAGTTCATTGATATTTTGTTCATTGGTGAGTAAATCCATATTTGCTATCCCATCATTTGTTGGGGGAAGAAAGCCTAATCCCATTTCCTCGTCGATATTTTCTTCATCTTCGTGATCATCTGTTTCATCAACAATATCTTGAGTTTCTTTCAATGGTGCTTCGGTGTCAGACATTGGCGTAAAACTTTTTTTATAAAGAACATCACAAACTGCAAGGTGAATTCCATGGACTAAACATAACTGGTGTTCAGCCTCAATAATTTTTCCCACACGAACCATTACATTTGGACCATCCGTAACAATAGCAACAATGTCTGTATCAATATTAACATTATGCTCCTTTAGACGTGTTTTTAAAACATCAATACATTTCTCAGCATTCATAGAACCATATACACGAATAAGACCCAAATTCCAGTGCTTATTTGGGATATGTACATTAATATTCATGTATCTTTTATTTGTTGTAGAGGTCCATTCATCAAAGCTCAGAGAAAATCGTGTTCCCAAAGCTTTATATTGATAAATTTCTTTAGAAATTAACAGTCTAATATTTAAGCTGTAACTCACCACTATCCTTTTAATTGAGTTTGCTGACTTTGGCAAATTTTCGAAACCACTGGTAATCAGTAATTGCCTTAAATCTTTTGATGTTATAAATACATTAAATTTTAGCCCATCTAAAGCTGTCATTCGAGCCAGTGTTTCGTCTAAGGTTTTTTTTTTTTTTCGTTTGCAAAGTAACTCGTTATTCTTCGTTTCGTAGGAGGCTTCTCGTTGGTTCTGGCATCATTCAATTGTTGACTCGAACTAGGTAAATTTTTGTCGGCTGAAGTTACTTTCAAATTATGCTTAGTTGATAAGTGCGTATGAAGGCCTTTTGTAGAACCACCCAATGTTTTTAAAATTACACCACATTTCTTACATTTTGCTGCCAAATTATCCGCAGACTTCAAATAATGCGACCACACTGAAGTTGGGTCTTTATCTTTTTTGTGTAGAAAAAATGATGTTCCCTTTTCACTGTTTTCATTCATGTTTAGAAGGATATTTTTTAAGGTGCATTAGTAAACAACATATTATTGCGGTAAACAACAAAAGCATTAAAAAGGTTATCAGTTCAAAACGTTCAAAACGATTCATTACACGGTCAAATTTTGTATGTATTCACACTAGAATTCCTTCAAGCGGAATTAATTGTCAAGGGCATTATAATGTTGCAATAACTAATAATTGTACAAATATAATTATACAAATCGCTAGAAATATTCCAAAGGGAATTGTTATGTAGTAATCATTAAATTTTTTTAGATATAATTTTTTTTTTATTACTTGTTCATTTTTATTTTTTTCATTCTCTAAAAATATTTTTTGAAATGAACAAAACGACTTAATAAACTTAAGCAATCACTTAACCACAAATTCGCTCAACAATTTTAAAATTTATATTTTTAACGCGAGAAGTCTTGCCAACAAACTTAACGATTGTTTTTTATACAATAGTCAAACAAACCTGCCTTAATTTGTGTTTGTGAAACTTTTTTCAATGATAAAATCCCGAACTCCGTGATCTATTCATAAATTTGTTCCATTTATCGTAAGGATAAAGCATAAACAGGATAAACCTGCAAAGCAGCATTATATAACTCGTTATAATTCAGTATAGTTACCAACTTTGAACATTTTGTTTTACAAAATAATTTAATTACTTCAATCCTGCTATAATCCCGAAAATCCCGGGATTTTGTGTTTAGAATCCCGGGATTTTCGGGACACAAAAATGTCCGGGATCCCGGTGTCTCGGGATCCGGGATCCCGGGATTGCAATCCCTACTCATATAGAAAAAAATACTTCAATAAAAAAAAAAAATTCGAACTTTTGTTAATATATCATTCGACGCAAAATTTATCATACTTTCAAAAAATATGTATATTTTGCATAAAATATTTATAACTATTGCCTTACTTTAAATTTTTTATTGGTCAGTTTCATTGTTTTACAATTAATTTCTATTGATCGAAAAACTTTGGTCGTTTTTTTCTCAACTTTTTAATTTTACTCTTTTTTTGAAACTTCAAAACATGATCTCGAGGTTAAGAAAAGCTTTTTGGCTGAAATTTTCAGTGTATGTTCCTTATTCATCAAGATTTCAGATGTACTAAAATTTTCAGTGTATGTTCCTTATTCATCAAGATTTCAGATGTACTAAAATTTTCAGTGTATGCTTCCTTATTCATCAAGATTTCAGATGTACTAAAATTTTCAGTGTATGTTCCTTATTCATCAAGATTTTAGATGTACTAAAATTTTCAGTGTATGTTCCTTATTCATCAAGATTTCAGATGTACTAAAATAATTAACTAAGAATAGTTTTATCAGTTTTTATGAAACAATACATGTTTTTTTTTTTATGTATAAATTTGTGATTTTTTTAAGTATGTTGTCCCGTTTTTGATATTATAATTATTTTTTTATTCTTTTAGTAGAAATGAATGATAATAATGTATGAAGCTATAAACAAAAAATTATTGAGTTTAAATCAAAATTAAGCAAGAAACATTGTTTTGAATTTTTTTAAATATACCCTTTTTACCTCTGATTTTGTTGAAATTTGCTTTAAATATAATTCATTTACAACTTTTTTTATAAAATTTAAGTTTTATTTATCATCAAAAGTACTATAAAATATCCATGAACCGTTGCAATTTCTTTGATTAAAAAATTTGTTTTTTTCTATAAGAGCCACCTTAAACAAATTAACTTCCAACGAGATTGAAAGCAACCACTTATTAAGTTTGGAATTAACAAAAAGCAATGAAGGTAATTTAATAGCAAAAATTCAAATATTTATTTAAACTTATTTATTTAAAGATGCCACAAATAGTAACTTTTGCAGAAACCGAATATTCGGTTAGGTGCTTGGCCAAAGCACTGAAGACGCTTATTTTGAGGGTTATTTTGAGGGTTCCGACCTGCTTTGTTTTATTGGATATGTCAACCACATTGTTGGAATTTTTATATCGTGTGTGACTAAATCGTGTCACAATGCCCATTATTTGTTGACTGTTACATCAAAAATTTTAACTATAGTAATGTATAAAAGTATTATACTCTTCAAACCATTCAAAATGATTTCAAAACCAACTCAGCAGAGCCGTGGCTAGGCACCCCCAAACCCCCCTATTGGGGGGGGGGGCAGTATTTTTAGGCGCCCTTTTTAAAAGTTAAAATATCTTTTAACTTTAAAAGGGTTTAAGTGAAGTAAAAAGATTTGCATTTTAAACATTATATTAACTAAGTTATGCATCCTAAAAAGTAAAAAAAGCAAAAGTCATTTTTATCCAAAAACAATTTACACTCCCGAGTTCTTTTGTTTTGTTAAAAGTTTTTTGAGAAACCACTATAGCGGTTTGTCTGATGTTATTTTAGCGGTTTGTCTGATGTTATTTAGCGGTTTGATTGATGTTACTAGCGCGCTAATGAGAAACCATTAAACAGCGTTTCGTGGGGAAATATATTTCAAAGTAAGTCGGTTATTTTAAGATTACAAGCGAATTTATTATTTTTAATTAGGTTATTTATTGATTAACTATAATTTGCTGGTAATTCAACTGTTTACCAATTCACCACGGTAAAGTTTATTTTATTACTATTATTTTTATTACTTATGTTTTATGCCTAGCAAAAAATATAATTATCTTTCATTCTTAGTTTTTTACAATATTTTGGAATTATTGGAATAAAAAAAGTGAAAAGTGGTGCCACTAAAAGAAGAGAAAAAGCTGCAGCCATGGAGAAAATCATGAAATACCCCTAGCTAACACATTTTTTAAAACCAGCAGTTCCGGCTAGCAGTGTTTTGATATCAACAAATAATTTTGATTGTGATTATTTGGGTACTAGGCTAGAGTCAGATGGGTTAATCTATGACTCAAATGCAAAGTCAAATGTAAGTCATGGTTTAATCTGTGAATCAAATGCCACAACAAATCCACTAATATTTCTCAGTGATGATCCTTCTGATTGGCCTGATAATGTTTCTGACGCTCAGAAGTGTGATGTTGTTAAACGAGGTTTAAAAAAGATTGAAATCGACTTTCCAAAAAATTCAGAAAGAAGACGATTTTCCATGAGTTATTATAACCGCAAAATGAAAAATGGAGAAATCTTTGAAAGATCATGGCTTATATATTCTTTAAATAGTGATAAAGTGTTTTGTTTCTGTTGCAAACTTTTTGGGATAACTTCTTCACCATTTCGAAAAGGAACAAACACGTGGGAAGGCTTATCAAAAAAACTTAAAGAACACGAAACATGCAGTGCACATTTAAAATGCTTTGAACATTGGATGACATTACGAAAAGGTAACTGATATTTCATTTAACTTGTTTTGTTACTTTTTTTATTGCTAAAATATTAATTTTTTTTCAATTTTGACAATGCAGGCATAGCAAATCAAGCTACCATAGACGAGCAACAACAAAAGTTGCTTCATAAAGAGCGGGTATTTTGGAGATCTGTGTTGGAAAGAATACTGGACATTACGTTATTTCTTTCAGCAAGGAATCTTGCATTCCGTGGTTCAGACACGGCAATTGGTTCAAAGAGCAATGGAAATTTTCTTGGGGTGTTTGAATTACTGGCTAAGTACGATGCCGTCCTCAAGGAGCTTCTGTTAAGAATTCAGGACAAAAAAACAAACGCTCACTATTTGAGCAATGACACACAGAACAAGTTGATTAGATGTTTAGCGCAGGAGATTGAATCAGAAAACCTTTCTATGGTAAAAAAAGCAAAATACTATTCGGTTATTTTAGATTGCACGCCAGACGTTTCGCACAAAAAACAAATGAGCATAATTTTAAGATCAGTGACATGTACTTCTAGAGTAGGTATTAAAATTTCCGAAAATTCCTTTCGATATCTCACAGTAAATGATACCACTGGAAAAGGGCTTTTGGATGCCTTTTTAAACCAGGCAAAAAAATGGGATCTAAATATTCTTGATTGTCGAGGCCAATCTTATGATAATGGTGCTAACATGAAAAGAAAACTTAAAGGTGTTCAAGCCAGGCTTCTAGAAATGAACCCAAAGGCTATATATGTTCCATGTGCAAATCATTCACTGAATCTTGTTATTGTTGATGGTGCACTGTCATCTATCAGTGCAATATCTTTTTTTGGAGTTCTTACAAGATTGTATACCCTCTTTTCATCGTCTCCTCCTCGATGGGAAATTTTAAAATCGTGTGTGGAAATTTCTGTCAAACCACAATCAGATACAAGATGGGAAAGTAAAATAAACTGTGTTAAACCACTTCGCTATTATCTGAAAGAAATTTTAGAGGCACTCGACAGATTGGAAAAACATGCCTTTGAAAAGAAAGATAGGGCAACAGCCTCAGAAGTACGATCTCTGATTGAATATATTAGGACATGGCCTTTCTTATTATCAATCATTATTTGGTATGACGTTTTATTTCAAATCAACAAATCAAGTAAGCTTCTTCAGTCTTCTACAACCTCTCTTGACATATTGGCTAGTGAAATAAAAGCAACAAATACATTTCTTTATGAGTATCGTGAGACTGGATTTACTGACGCACATATTAAAGCACAAGAAATTGCAGAAGAATTGGGCATTGAAAAGGTTTTTCCAACAGTGCGCTTACGGAAAAAAAAAAAAATGTATTCATACGAGTGTGCTGATGAAACTCGGCAACCTGAGCATCAGTATAAAGCAGATTTCTTTTTGTCACTCATTGACATGTCAATTGCATCAGTAAAGGAGCGTTTTGAACAGGTCAGTATCTTCACAAATCTTTTTGACTTTTTTTACCGGTCTGAGAGTCTTATCAAAGCCTGTAATGAAAATTCTCTTACTGTATTTTGCACAAATTTGCAAACGAAGCTCGGTGATATAGATTCTGAGGATTTGGAAATGGAGTTGAAACGATTTGTCATAGTTGTACAAGAGGACAAAAATACAAACCTGAAATCTGCATATGACTTCCTTAACTACGTCTACAAAGAAGAGCTGCAGTAAACTTATCCTAATCTAGTTATTGCGTTACGCATCATTCTTACTTCTCCAGTAACTGTTGCAAGTGCAGAACGTAGCTTTAGCAAGTTAAAATTAATTAAAACTTTTCATAGGTGAGTATAAATACTCTTACTTCCTTATACGTAAACACATATAACTATATTTCTTTGTATCTTTATGTAGGTCAACAATGGTCGATGAACGTTTGTCTTCCCTAGCAATGCTGTCAATCGAGAACGAGATGGCAAGGAAATTAAGTTATGAAGGCTTAATAAATAAGTTTGCAAGTATGAAAACACGACGCAAACTTTTTTTTTGACCTGTGAATGCCTAATACATTCACAGTAGTCAAAGAAACTTTTTGTTTTAAACTCTTAATAAATATAACAATTATAAAATATACTTAATAAAATTAAAGGGTTAATTTTATTGATTTTTTTTCTCGTGAACGACTACTTAAAAATATGTTCGGTGCATTATAAAAGATACGCCTTGCGCTTTTTGAAAAAAAAAAAAAGTGTCAATTTAAACGTATTTAAAAAAACTTTGGGGCCCTAATGGAATGTTTGGGGGGGGGGGCCCTAAAGCCACTAGCTACGGCACTGCAACTCAGGTATGTCTATCATAATATATATATATATATATATATATATATATATATATATATATATATATATATATATATATATATATATATATATATATATATATATATATATATATACATATATATATATATATATATATATATTTATATATGATTTTAACAACCAAGTTTTTCTTCTTTCAAGTCACTTTGGATGATTTTAAGAAGGAAACAGAAGTTATATTTAAAAACCAAGAAAAAACAATAATTACTATCGTTAGTGCGAACACAAAAATACTCTACGAAAGATTGGATAAATTTGAGACAAATATCATTGCAAATGCAAATAAGATAAAAAAAATTGAAAAAGAGCTTGAAGAGATAAAGGAAAGTTTAAACTTCAACGAACACGTAATCGATAAAAAGATTGAAAATAACAACAAAAGTTTATTAAACAAAATCGATAACAAACAATTAGAGAAAAAGAAATCTTGGGAAGAAACCGAAGAAAATGTTCTTTCATTTTTTCTACAAAAGCTAGGTTTAAAGGACATTAAAATTGAACGTGCACATCGTACTGGGCAAAAAAAAGTTGAACTTCCTAGGGTAATAGTTTTTAAAACTTCAAAAATACAGAGACTAAGCTAAAATTTAAAAAAAATCAACTCGTCTTATAGGAACAAACATTTATGTAAATGAAGACTTTTCTCGCGAAACGGTTGCAATCAGAAGAAAATTGTTTGCGGAAGTAAAAGAACGACGTTTAAATGGTGAGAATGTTTCGGTTCGTTACGAAAAAATTATTTCTTTTAAAAATAATGTTTTAAAAAACGCTCTTAACAAATAGTCGAATTACGCATTCTTAAAAAGAAACCTTAGTTTACCTGATTTTAATAACTATGGCTTTATTGAATGATTTTGAATCCATTACTTTTAATTTTTTCGAAGGAAACCGCTTTTCCTCTGATGAAAACATAGATCCAGATAATAATTTTTTTTGCGATACATTCACTGATTGCGCTTATTTTTATCCTAAAGAATTAGAAGGTTTTCTTTTTCAGAATGCAATTTAAAAAAGTTTAATCGAATTAGAATTCTCCACCTCAATGTAGAAGTTTAAATCGAAATTTTGAAAAACTTTCAAATTTTTTGGAAGAAACAAAATTTTTTAAAATAATATTTGTTTAACTGAAACATGGGTTACACAAAACGATTTTGAAAATAACTTTTATATTCCTCATTTTAAAATTCTCACAAGAAAGAAAAACGAATAAATGGGGTGGAGGACTTCTAATTTATGTTCATGAAAATATTTTTTATAATATGAGAAATGATTTAAGCATCTCCGATGGCGATAAAGAAGTTTTAACAATTGAACTTTTACTTGAAAAAACTAAAAACATTATTCTAAGCTGTTTTTATCAACCACCTGACGGCGCGAGCGAAAACCTAAGCATGTTTTTACAACATATTGTGGAAACAAGTGACGCAGAAAAAAAAAAAGTTTTGTAATTGGGGACATTAATATGAAGTGTTTTCTTTATAACGATGACCATAAAGTTAAAGATTTCTATGACACAATTTTTAAAACAGAATCTATACCCTTAATTAAACGCCCCACTAGGGTAACAATAAACTCGGCTACCCTAATAGATAATATCATTACAACAGACATTTTTAATAAAGGTATTCAAAAAGGTATCATAAAAACTGATAAATCCAATCATTTTCCTATATTCCTAATTTTACAAAAAGCTGCGTTTTTTTCATTTTATTATTGTAAATTTTGAAATTTTTTTTTCACTTTAAGTGTGCTAAATCTTTTTGACGTAGAAGTTAAGATATTTAAACATACTGACAAAAAAAAAATTATTTTATAAATAGTTTAAAAAAAATAATTGAAATTATACCTTCTGCACTTTTTAATGAAAATATATTACAAAAATGACGTATTTTAAATCCGTGTAGCTGTCCTATTAATAAAGATAAATAACAAACTTATATATTTTTAGATAATATAAGCAGTATAATTCATTTAAAAAAAATAAAAAATTAATTTTATGTTTTTTGTAAAATTTTGAACCATGGACAATTTTTTGAGGTTTTGCGCCACGTGATGCAAAACCTTAAAACAACGCACAGTGCATTATGCTTTATTTAAAACAAACGTTAAAAAATTAAGCGTAATTTAAAACGTTGAGCGTATTATAAAATAAATAGTATTAAGAACATAAAAAAAAAATTGATGAAATGGTCAGTCATCTTCTAGAGCAGTTAACAGTTCAGCATCCAAGGGACGATTACAAAAGGCGAGTTTCCACTCATCCGTCATTCCACGGGAACGGTAAAAAAAAGGAAAAAATAATCACGCAAATATGCGTGATAAAAGTTTTAGTTTGTTCGAAGGAAAACTGCGCATGCTCAAGTGATTATTTTTTCGTTCCCTTTCCCGTTCCCGAAAAACGGATGACTGAAAACTCACCTAAAGAACTAATAAAACTTTGTTTAATATTTTTGGGACGCTTTCTTTCAAACAACATCGCGTTTGCTACTCTTAGAGCTTTTCATCACGCAAGATGGACGACAAATGCGCTATGTTTAATTTAAGTATATCTTTTTAGGGGCCAATTTAAGTTAGCAGAGTTGGAGACACAAAGGTTTCAATATCTCTGCCTATTAAGGTGGCTTCACAGGAAATATTTTTTTTTAGTAAAATAACTTAAATCAATTTTAAAATCAGTTTTATAAATTTAATTTAATGAAAATAATAATAAAATATGAAGATTCATTAAAAAAAAGGACTTTTTTAATAAAAAACCCACAAAAAAGCATATTTTACTTTATTTTTCAAAACACGATTATTCCAGAATGGCTAATTAAAACAACTCGGTACTTTGCAATATTATTTTCTGATGAGGTAGAGGATGAACTAAGATCATCTTTTAAGTCCCAAAAAACTGAAAATTGACTGATTTCTAGGGAGGAAGGGGGGGGTAAGTCTTAATAAAGATTTAGCAATAGATAAATATTAATTAAACTAACAAAGCTCTAGTTTATTCTCTACAAATTAAACAATTGGGGAAAATTCGGAGATCTAGGCATTTTTTAATGTTGAAATATCGTGTTTTGAGTTCATAAATTATGTTAAAATCTTCATTTTTAGATAAAAGACAAATAAGTAAAAAAAGTATATTCTTTTTTTTTAAGTAATATTCTTTTTTGTAGATATATTTGGATAACTGTTCTTGATCTTTATCAATCCAACCTTTCCTAATTCGTCTCAACTTTTTAATTTTTTTTTGTGATTGTATTTTTTTACCATGTTCTATAACCGCTTTTGGTCTTTTTTTACTGAACTGATTATCGTATTTTTTCTAAAGTCTAGAATTAAATGTTTAAATACACAATAAATACCAAATGAACCTTCATTAAAAGAAAGAACCGCTGAGTTTAACCCCATTTCAAGAACATCTGTCTTTAAATAAACATTTTAAGGACATCGGGACCAAATGATATTATTTAGTCCTTCATTACAATTTTGAGTTAGCCCATGAAGACATTTTTTCAATAAACTGTTGTTAATTAATTCATCAAAGTCTTTCTTGATAATTTCATAAATCTATTCAGTCAAGTTTAATTTAGGAGAATAGTTTTCATCTGGATCTGTATTTTTACTTTTTTTTGAAGTATTATTACCTTGAGTTATGAGTTATGTTATTATAGAATTTTTGTTTTGTTATTGTTTATTTTACTTTGTTTTATTACAGTTTTGTTATTGAGTACTAATTGAGTTATGTTATCTTAAGTTAAGTTGAAGTATTCTTATAATTACATATTGTATATTTAATTTATTAACCTAAAAGATATACTTCAGGTAAACATTTTATCAACACAGCTTGTGTTAGTATAATGGTTTTGTCACAAGAAGTAAGTAATCAAATGATCGTGAAATGATGCAATTTCAATAAGTAAAACGGTTTTATTTGTGAAACTGAGTATAGTTAGCCTCTAAACTAATTTTTTTATTATTGCAAAACACAAAAGCATATTAAAACAGTGCTTAAAAGTTTTCATACTGCTTTTTTCCGTTGCTATGGGCGTTGCTAAGGAAGCTACTTCATATCATACCTGACAAAATGCAAAATAGTAGCTTATAAAAATGAAATTGTTAAAAAATAGTTATACCATTATTTGCCAATATTTATGCAAAAGCATGGTTGGATGCCCCCAAAAACAACATTTCGTTCGAATCAGGATCTTCGATTAATAAAACCTTTAGCCAGTTACAAGAAAACTAATAAACAAATTTCAGATATAACACTGTAATCTATGGTATCTGAATCCAGAACAGGATGCTTTTCCCCTATTCGACGAATCTTTAATTGATAACTTGGGAGCCGCTAAGTGTTTAATGATGAAACTGTTGACAATTATATATTTCGTGACTTTTACAAAATACTTGACAAAACACCTTAAGCGTGTAATTTAACTGACGTAGAATCTGACGTTTTATTTTGTTATCCTAGTCAAAATTTACATCAAATAATACATCAACTAGGATATTTTAGGCATTTTTTTAAATCATGCTTCGTCTTTAGTTAAATATTTGGACGTTTCGATACTTTCTATTAAAAACTCATAGTTTTTGTTAAAAATTTAAATGTACATGTTTTTAAACAGTAATAGGGTAGATTAGGGTATTATGAGCACCTTGAGCAAAAATAGGAATATTTTTAAAAATAACTATGCTGTGACCAATATTTTAGCGAATAAACTATATTTAGGGATCACTACTCATGATCTAATTTGATTTTTCGGCATACGAAATATTATTTTAGAAATACAGAGGTTTTAAAAAGACAGCAAAAGTGCTCATATTATGAGCACTTAAAAATATTTGATAAAAAATATCAAATACCAAAAAAAACAAAACAAGCCGAAACAACGCAATTAAGCATCTATGTAGTGGAGTATTTAAGTGGAGTATAAGAAAATTAAAAAAAACCTTTTTCTAACATCTTTTTCCATAACATAAAATGTTCATCATAATAAGAATGTTTTATAACAACTATTTGTTTAATAACATAACACAACATAATTTTCTAAAGATAAAACTGTCAAAAGTAACATTTTATACACAATTACTACAAAAAAAAACAACAACAGATTTTAGTTTGTTTTTTTTTCAGTACACGATTCACAGTACCAACTCTTGCAATGACTACATTGGTTCCATGGCACTTCAGACTCATTGTACAAATCTTCACATATTATACAAAATGTTTGATTAATCCTGCTATTTTCATTTTTTGTTTTGTCTTTATTAGCTGAAATACCCTAAAATAAAAGCTAGGTTATAAATTAAAATACTTAAAATTTCTTGAAAAGCAATTTAAAGATATTAAAATAACATTATACATATACTTTTCAATTGTTTTATTTATTATGTATTATAAACAATATTTAAAAAGTATTTTTCTTCAGAAAAAATAGCGTTATCTTTGAAAAAATTGTTTAAAAAGTAAAAGTATATATTTATAAACTGAATGTGTGTAAAGGCAACTTACTGCGTTCTCTAGCACTTCATCTTGTGGTTTGTTAATCTTACTTGGAACCTCACTGGCAACATTTAAATTGATTTTCCCTTTACTGTGTGTATATCTTAATTTTGCTGAGGTTTTTGTATTCAACATTTTTTTTTGTTTTAGAATTTTCAAGAACAGATCTATATGGTGAACTGGTAACTATAGTAGCATGTTGAACAGATCTTCGTTTTCTTGAAGTTTTATTAAGAGATACAGACTCATCAAGCAGTTGTGAAAATGTTTTAGTGACAGGACTACTGCATTGTTTTAAAATAGAATGTGTTCTGGTTAGATTGGTCTGGTTGTTTGTTACTTTTTCCTGTGAATCACTGAGTGTGATGTTAGAAGTGTTTTGTTCTTGATTTGTCACTGCAGCTGCTATAAAATCTTCATCTGTGAAAATGAGACGATTAAAAGGATGAATTCCTGATTTACGAAATCCGCTCTCAGCTTTACTCACTGAAGCAGCCTCGCCATAAGCAGTGCTGAACAGATTTCCGAATTCGGCCTCTATTACTGGTCTACCAGGGTGTAGGCGATGCCATGACTGCACAATTGAATTGTATCGTGAGTTTAAGGATTTAAAAAAAGAAATATCTAGTGGATGCATTTTATGGATATAATGACTTAGAAGGCTTAATATATTCACATTGTTTCTGCTATGACCGTCTAATATAAGTAAAGTTGGGGTATTGTAGTTTGGCGGTTGAGTAAATTGTATGAAATGGTCAAACCAGATATCAAACAGTTCTTCATTTATCCAACCATTTTTTGTTGCCATTCCAAATGCTTCTTGGGGTGCTTGATCCATAAAAGATGGCTTCATGCGTACACGAGGATAAATAATTATAGGAGGCACATATGCCCCAACAGCACTCACACAGCATAACATTGTAATGGTTTTTTCTTAACTTGTTATTGCTCCTACTTTTCTTTCAGAGCAACAATTTTGCCAGGAGTATGACAAACTGAAAAGCCACTTTCATCAGCATTATAGATGCGACTTGGTGGGATTACAATTTTACCATACTGATTAAATATATTTGACTCTAAGGCATCAGAAAAATGATCAACTTTTTCCTTGTTAAATTGGGATGCACGTGGCATCGGAGTTGGTTTTGGTTTTCTTAAAGATAAGTTTGAGTTTGAGTTTAAAAATGAACGTATCCAATCTTCTCCTGCACATTGACTTTTTTTGTTAAACTTATGTGTGATGCAATTAACTTCACAAAAAAGATATGCTAGTCGCCTTATGTCTATCTTTGTTAACCCAAACAATCTTTTTTCCATTTCAATAATAATGCTAATTCAGTTCTTGAACTTTGCTTAGTGTTCTTGGTCGACCAAGAACTTTGTTTAAATCAGCACCATTTTTAACTTTATTTATACAACTTCTCAATGTCTGTCTTGGTAGATTTTCTTTTGACTTCTTCCATATTTTAATACATCATCAACTGCTTTTTTCAAATTTTCAAAACACCATTCAGCTCTTTGAATTTTTATTTTTACAATCTCTTGGTATCTAAGAGAAAGCAATAAATGATAATAACAATAGTAATAATCATAATAATAATAACTAATATATATATATATATATATATATATATATATATATATCACCAAATAATTTTGAAAATAGAAAACCCGTGTTAGGAATCGGACGTAAAGGCGACAAATTATCAGTTTCATGATAATACACCGGATTATATGAGCATGCTCAAATTACCTGGAAATAGTATGTTTTAATACCATGAGCATAAAATGTTCAAATCATATAGATCTCTCTTAATAATTCAACACATGTTTAACTAATAAATTTTTAATAAAAAAATGCAAAAAAAAAACGACTTTAACAACAATATTTAACTCCATAGACCATTTTAATTGTATCAAGAATGTTTTAAAAAAGCAAGTTTTTGGACTGCCTTTTAAATATAAAGTACCCACTAATCACTTCTTTCCGAAATAAAGTAAACAAACTGATTTATGTAATCAGTTTATAAAAGTGATTCAAAAAATGCAAAGCTATTGGAATTTCAGCGAATGCAAGAAAGAAAACTTCAAGTAAGCTCATATTATCAAGGTGCTCAAATTACTCTAATCTACCCTAAATGTTAATTAAAAACTGTCTTTTTTATAATTCACATTGCAGTTCATGCATGTCTCTACACTCCCTTAATTACAGTTCATGTTGCAGTTTGTATATTCCTCTACGGTTTCTTAATAATAGTTTACGTTGCAGTTTGTGCACTTCTCTACGATTCCTTTATTATAGTTCATGTTGCTGTTTTAAAAACAAAAAAAGTAACACAAAAAATAGTTGGGACTTAAAACGTTAAAGAAAAACAACAAATGTAAACAAACACTGAAACATAGTAGGAAGTTAATAAAAACAGAAATATTTAAACTATTCTGTTTTAATTTTGTTGAGCATTTTTAAATTTATTGAACAAAATTATGTTTGCAACTTGTTTATTTCTTTGTTTCTTAAAGCTAGAAAAATGTTTTTTTTTTACTACTTTATCTTGATTGGCAAGCAATACTCGACGAATCCTAAAACAAAACAAAATGAAATTTAAACACCAATAAAAATTCTATTTACAAAAAATATTTCAAAATGTATGAGTAGCTTTAATAAAAAAACGATAAAAAAGTTTAAACTGAAAAAGTAAAAAAACAATAGGTTTAAAAATTATCAGAAGAATAACAATTATTGGATGATTTCAGCACTCAACCGCAGCACGCATTCTAAACAGCGAGTTTGTTTCTACTCCACATTCTACTCTTTGCATTGTTTCTACTCCACATTCTACTCTTTGCAATCTTGTTTAAAGAGTTGTTTATCACCGAATGTTCCTCTCTTTTCAACAAAAAAAATATTTTAAATAAGTTTTTTTAAATAACATGATTTGTTGAATTTGAATAAAGTTAGACTTTTTGGTTTACCTGTTTTTTAACATGGTGAGCATACCGGATTGTTTTTAGTGTTTTAAATTACAATTAAAAAACTTCTAATTAAATTATTCCTTAAAATACCATCACAATACAATACAGCTCTAGAGACTAGCTTGAAACCCAAGATTTCCACACGCCATTGTATAATTTTGGATCTGCAAGAGGATCTCGAAAAGTGTTTCGGCGAGATTCTACCATGCTTTTATTATAGAAATTTAATCGCTCTAACATAAACTGATAAATATGTGGATTTGAAGCTGATAAATCAATGTATTCACACGGATCATACTTGATGTTAAATAAACAAAGTTTTCCATCTTTTTTATCACAACTTCTAGGTAAAAGTGGAGGAGGGGAACAATGAACATCGTACTCTTCAATTTCATTACTGATTTCTGGTGGGGGATACCAGCCATCATAAAAATTATCTTAATAAAATAACAGAAAAGCAAATTAAACAACAAAAAAGACAAATAAATACAAAAACTAAATGAAACAAATACACAGAGACTACTTGGTATTCGAAAACTTCCAGATATAAATGAATGTTTATCTTTATTTCAAATGAGTGAAATAAAATTTCAATGAGATAAGCTTGGGTGAGTGAATTAAAATTTTAATGAGTAAAGCTTGGGTAACAAAAAATTTAAAGTAGGTCTCACCAATTAAAATGCGTGGAATCAGTTTTTCAAAAAACGAAAGTTATTCTTATTATTATTCTATATAAAAACATACCTATCGTTTTAAGATTTTATAAAAATATCGTCCAGCGTTCAAAAATTATTACCTATCTCCCAAAAATTAGGATTATAAATTTACTTAGAGACATAATTTGCTTAGAGACATAATTTGTTTAGAGACATAATTTGCTCAGAGATATAATTTGCTTAGAGACATAATTTGCTTAAAGACATAATTTGCTTAGAGACATAATTTGTTTAGAGACATAATTTGCTTAGAGATATAATTTGCTTAGAGACATGATTTGCTTAGAGACATAATTTGCTTAGAGACATAATTTGCTTAGAGACATAATTTTCAAGCAAAATACTCTTTAATGAAATTTTAATTCAATATTAGATCTTTCATCAAGTCTAAGGCGATTTTTATTTATCCCAACATTTGTTCAGGCAAGACCTACTTCAATGAGTTTTTTTTAATTCCATAATCTAAATATCGTAATTTTCAATAAAACACCATCATTTGTCATAAATGTGAACAAATAAAAATTTCGAATTTAGTTTATATATGAAAGCTATTCAAATACCAAATAATTGTAGATCTGCTCATAATAAAAATGTGTCAAAAAACATGCAGTTACCACACAATTTTTACACTCCATTACTTTATTCACTTAATTTTATTCCATACTCTTATTTACATTACTTACATCACGATATTGCGTCACGTCACATCATCGTCAGGTCACTCCATATTCTCACTTATTTTATGTCACTTCATACTCTTATGCCGTTTTTAAATTCATAAAAAATTTTAAAGTAATAACTTTATAGTTTGAACAAACCATACTTTGCTTTACAATTTTCCAATCGCCAACACGCAAAGCAGCATTCATATAAAGAAGTGGATCAATGTTTATAAGAACTTCAGTTCTTGGTGAAGGCACTTGATTGATCAAAGTATCCCATAAATTTAAACCATCAAGATTAGGAAGTAAAGTAGTGTCAACACCAGCTGCACTAAGCAAAGTAGGAAGCCAATCAGTAATATGCATTAAATCATTGGAAACTCTGGGATTTTTTGAAAGTTCTTTACTCCAAATACAAGCAGCACCTCTAACACCACCTTAAAATTAAAATATAATATGCATGTATAAAAATATAATATGTTTACATATATATAAATTTAAAAAAATATGTATCATAAATACTGAAGTATATAGAATAATGCACAACCTGTTAGCATACATATACACAGGCACACATACACACACACAATTTCTCAACTCTCATCAAGCAACAATAAAGGAATAATTCAATTGCCTGATGATAAGGTTACTCAACATCAGCAAAGATTGGAACATTAGGAAATGAACAGTTATCAAAAATAGCCATTACTTTTGGTAAACACATTCCTCGATTAGCTAGCAGGTACCACGTCACAGTTCTGAGAACATTTTCATTAAACACTTGTCATGAGTTAAAGTTAAAGACTAGATAATCTTTTTCAATCTTTTAAAAAGTTGAAAGGTAAATTTTAAGATCTAGAATTTCATTACAAATCCAAAAAAGATATCAAGGTTTGATTAGAAAAAGGACAGTAGTTGAAAAGTAACAGATCCACTCAAATATTTTACAGACTACATACAAAATAGTAATGATAAGGAAAAACAAACAAAAACAAAAAAAACTAGCAGAACTTGTTGTTTATGAAAATCAGTAGATAAAAAAAAAAAATCGAGTTGCGTCACATTATAATTAAAGCAAGTTTCTTTCGAAAGAAGCTGTAAAAAAAAAATTATTGGATTATTATTAAAAAATAAGTGGTAGTTAGACCCAAATTTGACACATTCTCTTTTAGATTAAAAGTTATTTTAATCTAAAAGAGAATAAAAAATTGATGAAGAAAAAACATAACAGTAGTACATAAAAATATTAAACATAAAAACAATATTTACCAAATAAATGTTTAAACTTACTTTTTTTACAAATATAATTGGTCTTTGAAGTAACTTTTAATCTGTTGATGAAAGAGTTACTTCAAAGAAATTTAAACTTTTTTAAAATTCACTAAACCTATTCACTCTTTGTGAAACTAATTAAAAGCGGATGTTTAATCTTTGGGAATCAGTGCTGATGGCTATTATCTATTGAGTGACACCAATAGATAATAGCCATCATCAGAGGGTGTGACTTGATGTATTGAGTCACACCCTCAATACATCAAGTAACACCCTCAATACATCAAGTCACACCCTCAATACATCTATTTGTTATAAAATCAGATTTGAGTCAGAGTATTCTTTTATGTTGTTTTAAATCTTAACTCAATCATCTTTTTTATTTTGATCTTTATCAACCTCTATCTTTTCAAAACTGCACTTTTTTTCAAACTGACGAAGCCTTTTCTTTTTATTCGGTAACCAAAATTATTGTTGTAGCACTAAAGATCTAAATTTTTGTCTTTTGTGTCTTGTTTCACACCCTAGCATTTCTTTTTTTTTTTTTTTAGATGGCTCAAATCATACAATGATCTTAAAACTATTACCTTTTCCTTTTCTTTCATCCTATAATTGCATTTTTTATTACTAGCACAGCTGAATAAGAATATTTTTGTAACCTTAATGTGATGGACCTTAGCTTGATATCTTTTGTCTATTTGCTGTTAACTACACCTCCTACATAACCTTCTGGATTCAGGCAGACATTTTATTTCTACTTGCCAGTTTAAAGTCCACTCTACATTCCAGCTACTGTATTTAATCATAATAACTTTGTTCGTTTATTTTACAAGGACAATTCAATTTTTCTAAAGAAGAACATTTTTCTAAAGAAGAACATCATGCTAAAAATTGTTGCAAAAATGTCTGACCCTAAAAACATGAAGACCCTAAGTTCAAGAAATTACAGAAGTTTGGGTTCTAGTGATATTAGTCTTTAACAGTGTCATTAACAAAGAAAGGTCATTCATCCCATCATCTCTCATACATGGATCTGATCTTATTACCTCTCCCAAAGATAAATCATTCATACATTATTGCATTATCTCTCATACATGGATATGATCTTATTACCTCTCTTAAAGATAAGTCACTCATACATTATTGTATCATCTCTAACAAGATGGCAGAACTATTTGTAAAGTACTTTTCTTCTAATTCAACTTCTAAATCCAATACCCTTATTGTCAAACCAGTAAAACAGGTTAATTCATTGTAATAACTTTTTTACAGCTTGTGATTCGGACAACATTTCTGTTTCTTACAAAAGTATTCTCTAAAACTTGTTTTAACACATTGAAACTATTTAACGAGCACTGAATCTTGTTTTCTTTTGTGCTAGGTTTCAAATTTTAAAATCTCTAGAGATTGCTCTGACCCCTCTAACTATTATCCAATCTTCTTACTAGTCTTTAATTAATTTAACTATATTACTATTATTACTATTATTATTATTATTATAACTCAATTTATAATTTATAATTAGAATTTAATTTATAATTTGTCATCATATTAGTATATTTTTAAATACTCTTCTATTCATCTTTATTTTTATTAATTAATATGTCAAAGTTTTTAAATAACTATCATCCAATCAGTTTTCTTACTAGTGTCAGTCTTTGAGTCTTTAATACTTCATTTTAATAATCAACTTTTGATACTTTATCTTAATAATTAACTTCTAATACTTCATCTTAAGAATTAGCAACTAATACTTCATCTTAAATCAACTTATTCTAACAATCAATATTGATTTTAATCCTCTCAATTGATCCTGTCATAGCTGCTGATTATTTAGACATAATAACAGAATCCTCTCAATTCAATCAATATTGATTCTAATCCTCTCAATTGATCCTGCCATAGATGCTGATTATTTAGACATAATAACAGAACAGTTCTAACATAAATTAGATGGATGAAATGAGGCAAAGGCTGTTAACAGTCATTACTTTTTGATTGGTTAGAATAGCTGATCTTAAATGTTATTCTTATATTTTTGACGGTTAAAACTTGAAATGGCTAGTAAATTTTAACCCCCAAAAAAATTGTTTACAGCAGCTATCACAATATTGTTGACACTCTCATATTGATGAATGGTAACACTCTTGCTAGGTCCTCTACGCCATTTTCATAGATACTTTTTATATTTACTTTTTTCAATATATACAACTTTAAGCACTTTCTTTTCTCGACTAAAACTTCTTTATATAATCTTTAATACGGTTTCTCCAAGTTTTTTCTACCTTTACACCTACCTTATTCTTCTTAAACTCTCTACATGCTGATACCTAACTATCTTCATCTTTACGGTTTACTCCCAAGCAAACTTAATCTTGCTTGACTTTCTTAAAAATTGACACTCTTTTTTTTATCTTTTAAGACCACACCACAAATCCATCTAATCATTATCTTCTCATTTCAAGATGCTGGAGATCATAAACTTTAATAACCCATGTTTTACTACCATGCATCATAACTTATTTAATGCATGTGGTGTATAACATACCTGTAATCTTTAATGATGTACCTCTTACTGTTAAAGATGATAACAAAGATAATTCTCTGAACTTGGCCTAAGCATACTTTACTCTTATTTTTGATGACTTCTCTGATCCATCAGCCAATTCTGCAAGATAACATAAGTAACCAACACACTACTATATATTTCAATCTCTTTTTTGACTTCTCTGTATCAACAAAATTTTGTAATAAAATGGTATACTATCAGAAACTTCATCATTTTATTAAAGATCAAAAGAGTTTACTATATGTCTTTTTTATACATTTTATATTTTCGGGGTTAATACTTGCTAATACTAATGCTGTGATCACTAAATGATGTTTTTTCTACTACAACATATTTAATTTTTAAGATAATTGTAGGTTGCACAAGTTGTTCATTATCTTACACTTTCACTAGTGTAAGATAAATAAACTTTTTTTTTTGCAGTATGAAATAGGTGTAAGTTGCAGGGTACTAATCCTCTTCAAAACACCAGTAAAAATAGAGGTAACTCTAAGGAGAGGTTTGAAAAACTATATATTACAGACTAGCAATTCTAATTTATCTAAAAACTGTAACTCTAATCTAACTAATCAAAATGTTCAACAAAAACATTTTCTACACTTAAAACCAGCAATACAAGGAGCAGTAATAAATTTTTGTGAAACTATTACAAACCTAAAAATAGTAAAAACAATAGTTTACGCAGACTTCTTTTTTCCACACTCCACATTTCTTGGCTTAACAATGCCTAACTTTTGTATTTCACATTTCATCATTCCAACACTGAAATCTTAGTATTAATTTTACTACAGTTTCTGTAACCAAGCATAAATCAACAGACATCTACTTTTAAAAGATACTTTAACTCTCACCAACATGCATACAAATACAGGCTTGGACAGGATAAATGTGCGATCACATGCTGTAATTGACCACGCTTATAATTTTTTTCTTTACAATATGACCATGGCGATTTAGATGTTTTAACAATTTGATGCTATATAGAAAAATTATTACGCTATGAATAACTTTTATTATTGATCTTACATAAAGTTTTTACTTTACACAAAAGCTTTAAATAAAATAAAAAAGTGAATGTTTAAAATAAACACATTTTGTGTAAATTAACAAATAATGTTATGTTTAATTTTTTCATATGTAAGCATGTATTTTTTATGATAAATTTAAACATTTGAAACTATTTTTCCATGTCTTTTTAAAAATCTTTTGAACGGTAATTTTTCAAGTTACTTTAAATTATGAATAAATTAAACTAAATCTTCCATTGCAATGGAATGATTTAAGGGCTTTATTTTTTTGTTTTGTTTTTATTTTTACAAAGAATTGTTTAAAACTTTTTTTTTTAACTTAACTAACTAATCAGAGCAAAAAATGATTAAAAATTATTATTTTAAATAGATACAATATTTTTTTAAACAGTTTTTTTGTTGCAATTTTTTGGAAAAAATAAATGTATATACAATTAAAAAAACATATATATAACACTTTTTAATGATTTAAATAAAATTTGTTCATTCATTTAACAATCATTAGAAGTAATTTTGAGTAACTTTAAAATGCTTTAAAGGATAATTTTAAAGTAATCTATTTTAAATGCAATGAAAAACATAACAAAAAGTACTTTTGGCTTTGAGTTTGAATTTATTGAGTTTTATCTTAGTGCTTATATTTTTTCTTTTTCGTAAGGAATTGCTTCCTTTTTTCGTTATTTTTTTTTTAATTTTCTTCCTAGTTAAAGTTTAGCTAGCATTTTTTTTTCAGCGCATTTCTAAAATGTTTGATAATCAACTAAACATCTAAACAGACGTGGTCAAGTAGTCAAAAAATAAAATCATTAGCGTGGTCAGCAATAGCGCTCAATAGCACCCCATTCCTGTCTCGATCGCACGCCATTCCTGCAATATACTTTTCACTTGTTTTGAGCACTTATTTAAGCACTTGCAAAAAAAAAAAAAGTCATTCTCATGATTGTAATAAATTTTATATTTCATCAAATAACTTAGTGAAAAAAATTAAAACCTTTGCATTGTAACCATAATAATTAAATAATTATTTGTTGACTTCATTACAAACCAATAAGAAACTTATGTTTATTAATACTAAGCATATATATATATATATATATTATATATATATATATATATATATATATATATATATATATATATATATATATATATATATATATACATATATATATATATATATATATATATATATATATATATATATATATATATATATATATATATATATATATATATATATATATTTATGGTAAGACCTTTGTATCAATTTTTTGATACAAAAAACAATAGATTTTTTATCAGTATTGGAAAAGCACTATTTTGGATACATTTATTTAAAAACATTAGTTACTTATTGGTTTGTAATGAAGTCAATATATCAATTCATAATATATAATTTCATATAGCTTAAACAAAAAAGTTAAAATTATATAATATAAGAATTATATGATTTAACCATACTTTAAATTGCTATTAGACTATTAAATTACATTTTTTAGCATTTTGTAACAAAACATTTATTCTGGTTTTCAAAAAAATTCCTCACCTTCATAGACAGTTGTTTTGGTGCCTCTTAATGGATAATTAGTTGCCCAATTATTGTTAAGACCATTTGCAGGTCCACCATTGTCTGATGTAAAGATTATGATTGAATCATCGAGCATGTTTTGCTTTAACAACTCTGAGGTAATCTAGAGTCAATCAATTGTTAATAATACTTACCTTTTGCTCTACTAAAAAACTCAAACAAAACTAAAAAAAAAGAAACTAAAACTGAATAATAACACTGAATGTAACAAATTTTCACTTCTGTTCTGTTCATGGGTTGAAAGTATGTTTTCTTAACCTGTTAAATCTAGAACAGAAAGGAAATCGCTATTATTCCAGAAAAATTTTGCTTCTGTGATCAGGACAAAGACATTTGGAAAATCATGTGTTTTTAAGAAAATTCTTAAAAGGGAAAGTGGATAACGATTTATAGTTGAAGAGAAGTTATTTATTTGATATGGCATCAAGAGGATGTTTGCATCCAGCTGATTCATTCTTCTATGTGTAGGGACAATTCATAAAGACAAGAGCAAAAAAGTATACCATGGAAGCAAGTCATATAATGTGCAAGGCCTACAAAACATACTTCGGTGTGCCAGTCGGGGACCAAGACAAAGCTTAGGCACCGAATATCACATGCGAATATTGCAAGAAAACACTTGAAGGTAAACTGAACAGTTACATCTCACTTAGATTTTATTTTCATAAAATTTCAATACTTTAGATCTAGTTTATTTCAAGGAGTTGTAATTTACAAAGTTTAAGTCATCTACTGTAGGCAAATACGTTCCATCTTGAAATTGTTCAATATTTTGAAATTTCCTGTCCTCAAATTGTTATAATTCTTATGTATTATTATGTGCTATGACACAGGTTGGTACAGAGAAGAGGAGTGAGCCATGAAGTTAGCTATTCTGCAATGGTATTATTCCTCATGGGTCTTCAAGGAGGTTTCACAAAATTTCCTTGTTTCCTCTGTCTCTGAGACAGCCATGACACTAAGGTGCATTATCGCACAAAGGCCGAGTTTATGTTGGGAAGAGCAATGTGAAGTGGGACCCTCTGATAGAACCTCATAAAGTGCTTATGCCAATGTTGTAAATCAAGTTAGGCCTCACTAAGCAATTTGTCATTGCTCTTGACAAGAAGTAAGCACTATTTCAATACCTCCAAGATCTTTTTTCAAAGCTGTTCGAGGCTAAAGTCAGTACTGGTATATTTGTCAGACCACAGATCGAGAAGGTCATAGAATGTGAGAATTTTGCAAAACTGCTGAACGGATGGAGAGAGCGGCTTGGAGCAGTTTCGTTGCAGTTGCTCAAGGCTTCTTAGGTAATCACAAAGCTGAAAACTTATGGAGTTAGTGCAGACTCTCATGAAGAATTAACCAAAATGGGATGCAGAATGTCTCTGAAAGTCCATATCCTTGATTTGCACCTCAACAAATTCAAGAAGAATATGGGTGATTACTCAAAGAAGCAAAGCAAGTGCTTTCATCAAGAAATATAATTTTTTTTAAATATAATTTGTATTCACTTTCGATATCAAAAAATTATTTCAATCTAATATCGCAATTTTGCAAATAAAAATATTTCTATTTATAACATTTATAATTTATTCCTGATAACATGTTGTTGTATAGTCTTTATAATATATGTTGTTGTATGGTTTAGATAAAATAAATTTTTTATTTTTTTTACTATTATGATAATCTGAAGGAAATGTTTTTGATATATATATTTAGTATTTATGATTACTTAAACATTTTAAAACAAAAAAAATATTTGCAAAGCCAAACCTGACCAATCCAGTGATCCATTACACCCAACATGGCTGCATAATTTTGTCTTCCTTTGTGTTTTATGTGTGAGAATTTATCTACCCATTCTTGAGGAGCTTGCAAAGGATATTCTCTTAAATTTGCACTGTGAACTGCTTGATAAGCAAGATAAAGAAACATTGGTTGAGTGGAGTTGTGATTGCGAATCCTATCGATAGCTTCCATTGAATACATTGCAGTACTATAATTTCCCCATTGATTAAATATATTCTAAAATATTTGATACTATTTGATAGATTATTTTCCTTATAGTTCACAACAAAATACAACATACTATTTAAAAATTTTTAAAAAGTTAACAGTAATAACTAAATTACTTAAAGTAATTAATAATAATATAAATTACAGAACTTTTTTTTTGTTGTTATTAAGGTGCTCTTAGAAGTCCTTACAGTCTTATAACAGATCACCGCAAAAGAGCGTTAGAACATAGAAGTTCATGCCTCCAAAACCTCTCAAACCTCTTGATTTTGAGCCATTTTAATTCTGAACTCTAACCACTGCATTACAACTGCTTTGTACATAAACTTTCACAGGTTGTAACTATATAAATTATAAATTTAGTTTTTATGGCATACATTTGGTATGCTCTATATATTATGTATATTTATATACTATGAATATTTATTTAGCTCTATTTATATACTGATTCATATATGATAAAAGGTTTTAATAATAAAACATGCAAACCTTATTGTGAGAAAGTTTTTTTTACCGAAAAGATAGATATACTAGAGAAAAAAAAGGTTTAAGTCCCACAATACCCCTAGTAATACAACGCATATATATATATATATATATATATATATATATATATATATATATATATATATATATATATATATATATATATATATATATATATATATATATATATATATATATATGTATATATATATATATATATATATATATATATATATATATATATATATATATATATATATATATATATATATATATACATATATATATATATATATATATATATATATATATATATATATATATATATATATATATATATATATATATATATATATATATCAGGGGCTATTCTAGACCATTTTCGATAGCGTTGACCTTATTTAGGCGGCACCCAAATTAAAACATAAGGACCTTTTTTTTTAATTGTTTTTTTACATTTTTACAGCATATTGTTTTTTTTTGTGGAAAAAAATAAAAAATATATTTTATATATATATATTTGATACCAAAGTCTTACCATAAAACATAGAAATGAGGTCGGCACTGCTGAATGCTGACCCTAATTTTGAGGGTTATTATATATATATATATATATATATATATATATATATATATATATATATATATATATATATATATATATATATGTATGTATGTATGTATGTATGTATGTATGTATGTATGTATGTATGTATGTATGTATGTATGTATGTATGTATGTATGTATGTATGTATGTATGTATGTATGTATGTATGTATGTATGTATGTATGTATGTATGTATGTATGTATGTATGTGTGTGTGTGTGTTTATATAGTATGAAAAATAACAGCAAGTCAATGGTCAATTGACTTGTCGTTATTTTTCCAAAATGATCAATGACCAATAGTCATTGACTATTGGTCATTGACATTGACCAAATATTATAATTTAATAACTGACTAAATTGCTATTTTGACCTCTTAAAATTAATTTTTGCTGGCCATAGTTGACCAGTTGAAAAAAAATCATTTAAATTTTGAAAAAGGGTTAAAATAGTTTTATTGTTTGCTAATTTAATTGGTTGTGGGTTGTTAAAGCAAAAAGTTTAAAAGCAAAAGGATGTTAAAGCAAAATTTTTCTTTATTTCTTTGTTTTTTAAACAATACAGATCTTTATCTTTGTTTTTAAAACATTAAAATAAACTTTTTTTATTAATAATTAAAAATTAATAATTTCTTAATAATTTTATATTATTAATTCTACTACTTTACATATATTCAAATATATCAAATTATATTCAAATATAGTCGAATATATTAAATTCATCTTTATTAAAATTTTCACCTAATGTTATTGTATGCTAATAGAAAACTTTCGCTTATAACAATCCTGAACTGTTTAATTCATTTTGTTGATGAATATGATGTAAACTATTAGTTTTTTAGCTTCATTTAAATTACTTTTATTTCACTGGTGGTGAAAGTTCTTTTTTCATAAATAGTTCTTATTTTATTATTTTAAAAATATTTCATATATTATTTAAATAATATCTGCAAACAAGAGTAAATAACATTGTTATTAACTAACTAACATTAGCAGCATTTGGAATGTTTTAATGAGCTAGAGATAAAATGTGCGAAAGTTTTTCTTCTTTAACTTCAGAGATAAAAGTTATTTACAGTTTACTAGGTATACTGTTTTTAATTTACATTAACAATCTCCTAGAAATTCTCACAACTAATGTAGCGTTGTTCGCTGATGATATTAACATTTTTTCTTGTCTTGATAAGAAGTCAACACTCTCTGATTTCTTAGAGAGAGCATTTGAGCTAGAAAAGGATCTCACTTCTGCTACAGCATTGGGCTCTCAGTGGCTGGTGAATTTTAACTCAGATAAAACTTAATTTGTTTCAGCTAATCATTATTGTAATAACTTAGATCTTATATTTATGAACCGTAATGTACTCCAAGAATCATCTTTCATCTTCTAGGATTAACTCTTACTCATGATTTTTTTTGAAAACTATATATCAAATCCATTGCTAAATTAGCATCTACTAAGGTTGCATTTCTTTATCCTGCTTGCCACTTAAATACTCCGGATTCTATTCTTTATCTTTATAAATGTCTAACCGCCCTTGCTGCTCTAAAGAACTAGCATCAGTTGTGCCATCCACTAAAATCCATTCTTGTGTTGCTTATCATTCAATTAAGTCTCATCCTTTTATTGTGACTGCTCCTAAGCGCTCCAAAAATTCTTATTCACCTAGTTTTTTTCCTTGAACATCAGTTCTTTGAAATTTGCACCCTTAATCTTGTTTTCCTGATTCATATAATTTCTAATCTTTTAAGTCATCTGTTAATCTTGCTTTATAAACTTCATTATAAACTTGTTGGAAGTGAAGATGTTTAAAAATAAAAAAATTAAAAAAAATTAAACAATTGATTTAACTTATCCAAGAATATTAGTTTTATTGATATACAATCCAAAACTAATATTCTTGGATAAGTTAAAACACAAGCAAAACAAAAATTTAAATGCTCTGAGAAATATTGAGGTATGTGACACACATTACAATCTTGTTTAGTGAAAGGTTAATTTGTTGCAGTAAAAAGCTAATCTTTCTCAGTGAAAGGCTGCTTGACACCAATTAACCATCACTGGTGTCTGGTAGCATCGTTGATAATTCATCTCCACATAGTAAGAAAAGAAAATGTAAATGAAACAATCAAATCATTCTCTACAAAAAACATGCATACATATGAAGATTTAGAAAAGAAACGTCTGATAGCAAATGAAATAAGCTTTACATAAACCTGTTTTTCTTAAAATCGACAGAAAACCCTTAAAAGTGGTGGTCATCAAATGCAAAACATTATCCTAATAGAACTTGCTAAAATATATAGTAGTACATAGAGTATATAATGAATGGCTATATATAGTTTATGTGAATGGCTACATATATAATGAATGGCTATATATAGTTTATGTGAATGGCTATATATAATGAATGGCTATATATAGTTTATGTGAATGGCTATATATATAATGAATGGCTATATATAGTTTATGTGAATGGCTGTATATATAGTAATATATAGAGTATATAATGAATGGCTATTTCTGGAAGTATATATAATTTATGAGAAAACATGCAATAATTTGCTATCATTAAACGATGAAAAGGTTTCATAACTTCATAACTTACTACTCATAGGTTTAAGTATCAAATATGCTAATTATTTGTTACAACAAAAAATAACAGTTATATGTTATTAATAACAGTTATATGCAATCCTTTTTTAATGTTTTTTTTTTTTACAACCTGGTATTTGGTATTTGGTCGAATAATTTACAATATTTGGCTTAATACCAAAGAGAAAGAAAATTAGCCTAATAGGCAGAATAGTCACAGATTATTTGTGGAATCAATTTATTCTTAATTATTATAATAACAACCAGATTATAAGCAATTTAGTAAGATTGGATCTAACACTAAAGTTGTTAAAAGATATTGACAACTCTGAAACCCTTTTTGGACCACTAAGATAAAATTTTGCTAAAAAAAAGGCGCTAAAAATCAGTTAATCAGCAAAGTTGATGCTATTGAAACCTAAAAATAAAAAAGTTTAGTAGTATTTAGCACAACTTTTAATTGTATATTTATCTTTTATTTTATTTTACATTATTATAAAACTCTTGTTGAGTGTTGCATGGGTTTTGTTTACATAAATTTATTTAATGATTTCATTTTTAAATTTGGTTGCCAATAACGGCAACAACAACTCAAACATTAGTACTGCAATATTTTTGCTTTAAATGTTACATTTAAATATCTTTTTTAAAAGTTTTAATAATATCAGTAGTTTTTAATAACTATATTTAGGTTAGTATTAAAAATTATAAAATTATAAAACTATAAAAAGATAAAAGTTAAAGAAGTCAAATTAAAAAAAAAAAAAAATTGAAGAAAAAAAAAAGATCAAAAAAGAGAAAACATTAGGTTTTTTATTTATTAAAAAGAGTGTGCTCAATTAAAAAATAGTCAGCTGTAAAAAAAGCAGCTGTAAACAAAGCTCTCTGATGCACACAATCTCATTGACTTCAGACTAGCACCTATTTAGTATACAAAAAATGCTGATAGACAAACACCCAATAGAAATGCAGATATTTTGATAAACACCCTGTATTACTTCAATTTTTAAATATCAGAACATCATTCTCTGGCCTGTTCCAGTGTTACCAAAGATAGTTATTTAAAAAGTTACAAAAATATACATTTTTAAAAATACTGCTTTCTTGTCACAACTATTTGCAACTAAACTTAAAAATGAAACAACAAATAACTTTGCATTGATAAGAAGTCTTTTGTAATAAACTGTTTCTTTTTATAATAAAATTTATAACAAATGAGGTTACTTTAGACAGATGATAAAATTGGATAAAAATATTGGTTAGTTTGGACAGATGTTAAAGTTGGAATGCTTCAAAATATTGTTTTGGATGTTGATAGACTTACTATGTATACACAAACCTTGTTTTATTTTAAATGTTGATTTTTTTAATTCATAACTTACCTTTTTTTAATTTTTAGATTAAAATAAATGCTTCATTAACATAAACATACGCCAGGGTCAAAAAAAGGATTAAAAAGATTACACCAATGTTAATTTAGCAGTAGCAGCCAGCAAGATAAACAATGGTAAAATGAGTCTTAGAGAAAATGTTAAAAAAAAAATCACGATAAAATGTTGTCATCATTTACTTGATCATCAGACACAGAAATGGTATTTATTAAGTATATCACAACTTGCTCTGAATGAGGATTTCTCATTCAGAGCAAGTTGTGATATACTTATGGCTATTGTAAAAAACTTTTGCGACAAACAATTGCTATGTTCAAAAATAATTACCCAGGAGTTGAATAGGCTATGACAAAGCTAACTTGACCAATGATTCCAGTATTAAGTAACTAAGCGAGGAATGAAGCATCCTGATTGCTGCAATTCTATTTAGGTTAGTATTAGTTTTATGTAAACTTAAAACCTCTAAAAAACTATAAAAGTACAATATATTACAATATCAACTATCAAATTTTCTTTTATGAATTAAACTTAAAATTATGTGCCAAATAAACTTAACCAACTGATTAAATGAATATAACTAAACTAAACAAAATCATAAATCTAAATCACATAGCTGTTTGCATAAAAATATAAGCCTTACTTTGCTTGATGACGGTGTGTCATAATGCAAATCTAAACCCCATCAACCATTAGAAGCTAAAGAATGGTCCCAATAATCTGCTTGTCCTCCATAATATCCATAAAACGAATCAAAACCACGATAGGTAGGAGTGTACTCTTTAGAAAAAAATCCCAAATGCCACTAATTTTAAAAATACAACTATTATGTGAAATATTTTAATGAATGCATTATAAGCAGCAATTAATGGACACCTGTTGCCTCTTTATGTTGTACCAGTCAATGCGCTAGGAGAATGTGAATAAAAATAATGTCAAATTTGTCTTTCACCAAAATCTGTGCAAACCACTGAATATAGCTTTTTTTCAACCATTGAAAGGGGCAAGGAGAAAGGTGCTGACAGATCTAAAATTATTAACTAGTAAAAAATCTGGTATACTACATATAACTAAATGTTATATGTAGTATGCCAGATTTGGTGACCAGCATGACTATGTATTTAATGAAATCGGAGTACTATTGCACGATTCTTTTGTTTAATATTTTTTACCAAATGAGATATGGTATGCAATATATAAGTACTCCTAAACAAAGAAACAAACAAATAAATGATCCTGCTGGACAAGTTTTACATTTAAGGATATCCCTACTGATGCCAATGAACCACCAAGCAAAATGACAAAGAAAATTAGATGTAATCTTTTTTTTTTTTGTTTTAACATCTTCACTTCCAACAAGGCTGCAAGCAACCACTACAAGAGTTGGAAGTTACTGGAAGAGAAAAGACTAAATCTGTAGAGCAAGATAACGATTGACTGATGACTTAAAAGATTGCAAATTATATGAATCAGGAAAGCAAGATGAAGGAAGCGAATTCCAAAGAACTGATGTTCGAGGAAAAAAACTAGAAGAATAAGAGTTTTTGAAGCACTTAGGAACAGTCATAGAAAAAGGATGAGACTTAATTGAATGGCGAGTAACACGAGAATGAATTTTAGTAGATGGCACAAGGGACGCTAGCTCTTTAGAGCAGTGCCCATTATAGTATTTGTAGAAAAGAGAAAGAGAAGCAACATTACGACGATGTGACAAAGGTTGGAGATTGGCTGCCAGAGCAGGTCCAACTATGTTTACAATTCGTTTTTGCACCTTGTCTAAAAGAGAAAGAGCATCATTAGAAGATCCGCCCCAGATGTGGCAACAGTATTCCATACAGGGACGGATTTGAGATTTATAGAGATAGAGAATAGAATCTGGAGTAAGAAAGTGTCGAGCTCGATAAAGAGATGCAACCTTAGCAGATGATAATTTTGCAATGGATTTGATATACGGTTTAAAAGAAAGATCAGAAGTAAGAGTTAATCCTAGAAGATGAATGGTAGATGACTCATCTAGTACATTACCATTCATAAATATAGGAAGATCTAAATTATTACGATAACGATTGGCCGAATAAAATTGAGTTTTATCTGAATTAATCTAACTAATAATAAAGTTTTAGCATTATTTAAATTACAAATCTAAACCTATGAACCTACCTTCTTAACTTTCTAGACATTACAATTAAATCGATGGAGGCAAAAATTAATGATTAGGTGATTGTTGTCTACGAGGAATAAAAAAGAATTTTTGACAATTGAAGCCAAATATTTAAATGTTTGTTGTGATTAAACAATTATGTTAACAACAATGTTTATAATGGTATACTATGTTTTTTTTTGGTATATGGTACTTGCACTTATTAGACATTTAACTCCTCATTGTTCCCAAGTGTTTTAATTTTATTGTTTCCAAGTGTTTTGTTAATTGCATTTGTTCAACATATAAAGCTTATTATTAGTAGCCTATAAGTATATTATTACAGTATTAACAAGTGAAAAGTTATTAATAAATATAAAATTTTATGTATAGCAAATAATATAGAAAGTTTCATTTTTACAACAAAAAGTAATAATTGAACTTAATAAAAATAATAATTTAAGAGGATAAAAAGAAATAAAATATTTACTCACTAAATAAAAGATGCTTTAATTTATGTTTTTATGGTTTTTGTGCATAATACTGAGAAACTGAGATACCGTAAATTGGGGTTACCATATCGGGTAACGCATACATAACGGATACCGTAAATTAGGGTTACTTTAAACACTTTATTTTCAAGTTTTATGTAAACTTAAAACCTCTAAAAAACTATACTAAAAAAAAATCAATATAAAAGTACAATATATTACAATATCAACTATCAAATTTTCTTTTATGAATTAAACTTAAAATTATGTGCCAAATAAACTTGACCAACTGATTATATGAATATAACTAAACTAAACAAAATCATAAATCTAAATCACATAGTTGTTTGCATAAAAATATAAGCCTTACTTTGCTTGATGACGGTGTGTCATAATGCAAATCTAAACCCCACCAACCATTAGAAGCTAAAGAATGGTCCCAATAATCTGCTTGTCCTCCATAATATCCATAAAACGAATCAAAACCACGATAGGTAGGAGTGTACTCTTTAGAAAAAAATCCCAAATGCCACTAATTTTAAAAATAAAATGATCATTAATAAATAAATAAACTATTTTACTTTATACTTAGGTCATTAGGAAAGTTCGTAGAACTCCACTATGAAAAAAAAAGTTTTTTTTTCAATTTTATTTTATTAAATGTTCAAAATAATGTCCGCCATTATCTATACAAAGTTGCATCCTTTCAAGCCATTTGTGAAACGTTTTTTTATATTCTTTTTTGGGTATACTTTCAAGAAGCTTCTTTTTGCGGGTTTTTTGGCTTTTGACGTCAGTATCGCCATCAAGATTTTTTTTTATCAAGTCGAATAGCCAATAATCAGATGGAGTTAAGTCTGGTGAGCATGGTGGGTGGTGAATTATTGTAATTCCAGCTCGGTTTAGACAGTGTGTGACGGCTTGAGTTACATGGGGTCGAGCATTATCATGGAGAAATTTGAAATTGTGAGTGCCTTTTTCAGGTCTTTGCTTATTTATTTCTCATATAAGAAGTTTCAAACAATTTTTTATATAATATGTGCTAGTAATGGTGTCTCCCTTTACAACATAACTCAAATGAACAACACCTGCTGTTTTGAAGAAGATGTAGAACATACTTTTCGGCTGAAACTTATCACATCTTATTATAGTTCTTGGATTTTCACCTTCAACGACCTAACTAGCGTTAGCTGACTTGTATCCAACTTGTCTTAAATAAAACCACAACTCATACCCTATAACAATATCACATAGCCTCTATAGGGCGTTTCTGAAAAGGGCTAAATTTTCCTTACATGTCTCAACTCTATTCTTTCGATTTTGATCAGTTAACTTGTGGGGTATCCAACGTGATGTTAGTTTTATTTTTTTAAGTGCGTTGTGAATGATTTCGTTGATTACAAAAATATTAATCGATGTCAGGGCTTCAATTATATCATGTGTTGCATGCAGATTTTCTTCAATAATGGCTCGCAAACGTTCAATATTCTCAGTTGTATATGTGGTTTGAGGGTGCCCTGAGCGAGGATCATCTTCAAGACTCCAAAGTATAGTACAGTTGCCGACTTGGCAACTGTACTATACTTTGGAGCTTGGTCTCTATGAGCTAAAACCAATTCATCTGTTATGGCTTGTGTTGAAGCTCCAAGTAGAGCATGGGTTTTAATATATGCTCGATATTCAAGTTTTTCCATTAAAAATTTTTTTATTTCAAATGTATATAATAAAATTTAAATAACTTTTTTAATAAACATTAAAAATATTTCAACAAGTACTTAATATGCTCATAATTTAACATAGTTTACGATGATATATAAATATTTAATTATTTCCTGTTTTATTGTAACTTTATAGATGAAGTTCTACAAACTTCTCTAACGATCTAAGTACTTAACTATTTCAGTTTATTTCCCAAAAAACAGTTTACTTTTAAAATTTTTATGAATAAATTTTTCAACTAAGACCTCATTCTTAGGTTTAATTTCATAAAAAGCTGAAGAGAAACAATTACACTTTAAAAAAAAATCTTTTAAAAATATTTAGAAAATGCTTCTACTGAAATGCCATTAAATTTTATATTAATAATTTATTGTCACAAATAATCTATTATAATGTCGCATAAACAGTTATAAAGTAAACCAATAAAATGTATACTTAAAAGATATCATTTTTAACTTATCACTTAAATTCTAACAAAATATCTTTATATATCTTGTGCATCAATTATATATTATTATTATAATTTTAATTACAATAAAATAATAAATCAATGATCAATTAGAAAATTTAAAATTCTGAGCAATCACTCAGGATTATTATCTTCCAATTGTTTTAAAACTTTTATGTTTACATTTTATTTTATGTATCTATCTTTTTTTTATACCGTTTTTTCCTAATTTCTCAAAATTCTAAACTTTATGTTTTAAACAAAATTTTCAATTTCAAGAAAATTCAATTCAACAATTCAAAAAAAAATCAATTTCAACAAGACTGCAGGCATTCTTGTTGAAATTGTAAAATGCTGTGCTTAACTGAAAAACAGTTCAAACAAGATTTCGATAAGTGAAATAAGATATGTGCATAACCACAACTTGTCTTGCAATGGTATCCATAAAAATATCTAGACTTTGTTAAAAAATTTTCATATTAACATATTTATATTGTCAATATAATTTTTTTGTTAAATTAAACTTGTTTTCATAAAAATTATTTATATATAAAAACAAAGTTAGTCAAGTTGAATTTCAAATAAAACAAATACTTTTCTTATAGTTTTCCATATCCCTTTTTTTTAAACCTTTGGCTTCCATACTCATAATTATGTTTTTATATGCACCTAAGCGTGTCAGTTATGTAATATATTACAATGCTTTTATTTAGCTTAAAAATTAAAATCTCAGAAAATATGTAATAAAAAATATATTTACTTAATTATTTTTTTGATTAAAAATACAATTTAAAAATGCAATAAATCTTATTTCAAAATTGTATACTTGTAATTGAAAAAGAAAACAACACATATATGATACCTTGCCAATTGCATGGGTCTGATAACCAACATTTTTCAAATACTGAGGTAAAAACTTTTCATCCAAACCTACGCCCCAAGCATTAGCAGCAAATATAGTGTCACTTTGCATACCTTGAAAATTAATAAATAAATTAACTTTATTACTTTATAATAAATATGAATACAAGGTTTTTGAAATATCTAATTTTACTTATTAAAAAATAATTGGACCCATTACACATTTTATTAAATAGTACAGTGGGTTTCATAAATTTAGACGCACTCATATTTGAAAATAGAAAATTTTAGGTATTTTAACGATAAAACAATGACGAAAAAAGATTTCGGTTTAGTTTTTTTTCTATTTATCAGATAAATACATACAGAATACAAAATTTAAAAAAAGTTTACAAAAAAAATGAAATACTAAGTAATAATTAGGTACAACTACATGGTATTAAAAAAATTAGACAAAAAAAATTATTCATAAATTTAGACGCACGATACATTAGAAGGCATAATTTATGAACCAATCAATATTTTGTGTATCCGCCTTTTGCTTTAATACAACTAAGAACTCTTCTAGGCATAGACTCAACAAGATTTTTGCACATCGCTTCTGGGACCCCATACCAGGTCTCCTTAAGGAATTCCTTCAGCTGACCAAGTGTGGAAATTCGAACCTTTGCTAATTCACGATCAATCCAAGCCCAAATGTTTTCAATCGGGTTCAAATCAGGTGAATATGGAGGCCACGGTATTGTCATAATATTATTATCGTTGAACCACTCCTTTGTATAGTATGCAGTATGTGCAGTAGCGCTATCTTGTTGAAGTTTCCATGGTTTATCATTGAGCATAAGCAGGTCAATTGATGGAATTAGGTTGTTTTCCAGTACTTCTATGTATATTCTGGAGTTGATTCTTCCGGTGTATGTTTGGCACATACCAACACCTTTGTAATTGAAGCATGACCAGATTCCTATCGAGCCTCCTCCACTTTGTACAGTTGGTCTAATGTACCTGGCGTAATACTTTTCGTGAGCCATTCTTTTGACTGTTATGTTAGATTTGCGATTGATAAGCTCAAAGTTACTTGTCTTACTCCAATCTTGTATTTGATAAGTATTCGGCGGACGGTGCTTTGAGAAATAGTTGTATTTCGCGTTGTATTGAATTCTGTGGTCAATTCTTTGTAACTAATTCTTGGATTAGCTCTGACAGCTCTAAAAAGAACACTATCGTCCTTTCTTGTGGTTGACAAGGGTCTACCTGGCCTCGTTTTCTCGCTGGCACCACCAGTGTGAAGAAAGTTTTGTTTCGTTGTCCGAACGCATTTCTCAGAAACTCCAATTAACTTGGCGATTTCTCTATTACTTTTGGTTCCTTCTTTGATGTGCGCAACAATTTGCTATCTTTCACCTTGAGTGATACGTCTTTTGCCCATTTTTTACGTTCTTTTAGTGCAAAACTAACTTAACTTTTGTTTATTTATTAAATAATGATTAAATAACTCAAGGTAGGTCATATTTATAAAAGGTTTTTTGACAAAATCAATTAATTTAGGTCTATTAATGAGAAATATAAGAAAAAAACTACTAACTATCAATTAACAAGATATAAGACTTTTTTAATTGTGCGTCTAAATTTATGAACAAAATAAAATCAAGTTTATCAATTAACTTTTTTGTGTTAATCGGTATAAAATGAGTAATAAACATCCTGTAAAAAAAATTAAGGTACTCTATAATAGAGTTTCATTTCCTCTTTAAAATTATATATCAAACATAGCGGTAGCACTTTTATTTTATTTTTATTTTGAGTATTTTCTTACATATATAAAAAAAAATGAATGCGTCTAAATTTATGAAAGCTACTGTACAATCCACAATGTAAATATATATTAATGGAAAAAAACTTAGCAAATATATTTATTTAGTATGATAATAGTGTTTTTATGTTTGTTTGTTTTTTTAGTATTTTTATGTATGAATGTAGAATAGAATGCATAGAAAATATCATAAGAAAGGTTAACAAATACATCTAATAACCTATAAAGATCAAGTTGTAAATATCAAATTTTATCAATTTGGTAAAAACTGTTATTAATTAATAATAATACTTTGATTAAAACTTGGGGATCTGATGTTAATAATTTTTTTCTTGGTATTATTGTACCAAGAAAAAAAACCAGCTTTCTTAAGAGGCATCTATGACCTTTTTGAAGGTGAGTACATTAAAATAAAATTAATAATAATAAAGTTAAACCAACATTCTAGAATAATTTTTTATGTTGAACATCTAGTAAACTTACTATAAATCTCCCACTTATCTGTTTTACCACCACTACAAGTCTCTGCATTACCAATTTTGCTTGAAATACATTATTGTTATCAAATGACTTTTTATTCTGTTTATTGTTAAAACTTGCAATTGCTGTTTATTCTTTTATGTTTTATTTTAATGGGCTATATATATATATATATACATATATATATATATATATATATATATATATATATATATATATATATATATATATATATATATATATATATATATATATATATATATATATATATATATATATATATATATATATATATATATATATATATATACATATATATTTATATATATATATATATATATATATATATATATATATATATACATATATATATATATATATATATATATATATATATATATATATATATATATATATATATATATATATATATATATATATATATATATATATATATATATATATATATATATATATATATATATATATATATATATATAGTCTTGCATGGTAGTCACAAAGTTTTTCCCATAAACTGTTGTTTTAAAGAGCGCGTTAATAACCCTGACCAGAAAATGTTAAAAAACTTCAAAAAAATTTTTTTTTTTTAAAATGATAGACTGCTTGACCAAACCAAACCCTCAGTCGATGTAGCAGCACTCCCTTGCAAGTCAGGCTATTTGTCAGTCGATGTAGCAGCACTCCCTTGCGAGTCAGGCTATTTGTCAGTCGATGTAGCAGCACTCCCTTGCGAGTCAGGCTATAAGATAGTCGATGTAGCAAGACTCCTTTGTAGCAGCAGGCTATAAGATAGTCGATGTAGCAACACTTACGCATGTTTTAAAAATGTTTTTTAATAAAACAAAAACAAAAATACCACTAATTAAAAAAAACTTTCTAGTCATTATTATTGCGGTGTTTTTAAAAAACAATAAAATTTAATGTACTTCCGCATTAATTTAATTGCTTTGACTTTTCGACGACATCAAAATGCAGCTTAGAAGACGAGGTAAAAAAATTGTAGTCGAAAGAGACTTTTTTTACCATAAAAGACTCTTTTGACTACACTATAAGGATATATATATATATATATATATATATATATATATATATATATATATATATATATATATATATATATATATATATATATATATATATATATTGTTTAATTTTATTTAACTTTTTTTTATGTTCATTTTTGCACGGTTAAATAATTTAAAAAACATAAAAGTGTTTTGATTAAAATGCTTTGATAAAAGTCATAGAATAACAAAAATGCTAAAGCGGGCAAAACTACATAAAAACTGAACCACCATGATTGTAAACGTGGAGCGAAATGTTGAAGTTTTAAATCTTTGGTTTCAAGGAAAACCATTTATTTTTTTAAGAAGAAACTGACTTAAAGTTTATATCCAAAACATATTTTTCAGAACTTTGTATAAGTTATTTGACTGAGTTCAAGAATGATCAAATATTGAACAAAATGATTTAGCCTCCCCAATCACAAGATCTCTCTCCTATCAAATTTCAAATGAATTAAAAGTAATATCAAAAACTAATTCCTAATGATACATAAGATGTGGGCAAAACTAATTAGTTAGTGGCATAAAATTGACTTTGACAAATTGGACAAGCCATTAAGTAGAATACCAAGAATACGTCTGGCAGTTATTGTTGCTAAGGGTGATTAATAAGCAAGTAAATTATAAACTAATCTAATGGGACATTCATAGATTATCCTAGTCATATTTTAAAAATCCGGAAAATGGCTGGAAGAAACATCCTGAAAAAATCCGGAATTTGTTTTCCCTTATTTTCTTTTAAATTTCGCTTTTAGTTAAGTTGTTTCTAATTTTTTTTTTGTTACTTTTCTTAATTTTTTTTTAAGTGACGAGTGAAAAAGCCTTAAAAATAAATATATTACAAAAATATATACCTCAACTTGCATGTATTGAAAATATTTTGGATATCCGGAAAAACTTAAAGTTGAAAAAAATATCCGGAATTCTGGAAATATCCGGAAAAAGATAATCCCTGGACATTATATTAATTTTTTGGAATTAATTGGAAGCCTATTAAATAAAAACATAACATATAACTCAAGTAGATTTTGTTTTCAGTTTTTCTTCTAATAGTAAGTAAAACTTTTATATCTTATATCGAAATATATGACCATTCGAAGTAAAGTGGAGTAACATTGACATCTTTAGGGAATTTTTTTTTTCAGCTGTGAGAAACTAAATTTGTTATACAATATTTCTATATGTTTATCAATAATAATGCTGCCATAAACTGATGAAGAGTTTAATTAGTTATCTAATATTATTGATAGATAATTAATTTTGATTTTGGGTTTCAACTGTCAATGTAACCCCTTTATGGGGTAACATTAACAGTAGTATGTTTTATGCTTTAAATGTTAAAGTTACATCATGAGGAGTAATATTATCATTGAAATATTGACAAACAAAATAGAGAAAACATTTTAAATATATATTAGCACCAACCTAAATTTTCATTTTAAAAATAAACAGCATTAAAAAATTGTAAAACTGCAATGAAAATATGTTAAATTATTTTTTAAAAGATTAACTTCAGTTCTGATAGTGTCTACTTAAAAATATAAAAAAGAATGGTAACTTATCATTAAAATTTTTTTCTCTAAGAATAGTTAAACTATTAAGCTTAATAATGATTCAATATCTGATTACAACAAAATCCCGCAGCACTTTAACTAATATCTGATTATGACGAAATCCCGCACTACTGTAATTTTTTGTTGGATTTCTTTGTTACAAATTTTTTAGTGTTTGGTTTAATTTTAGAAACAACAAGATAATTTTTTACATTTTCAGGTTTTGATGCTTTGTTCTTACCGAGATTTATTGGTAATCCAATATTATGCAATATTGTTAAGCGTGAATTTTAACGTTTTGCAAGTGTCAGTTTTTAGATCTGTTGACATTTGATGTATTGGTACATTTTTTTTTCAAGAATTACTTTTTTAATTTAGAGTTTGCTTTGCTTGATTCCATTTCATGCAATTGTGAAAGATTCATCAGATGCAAGACATTCCACCAACTTTTGCTTGATTCTTGGCCACTGAAGCATTCCTGTTAATGTTACCCCAAAACTGAAATATGCATTTAAAAAAAAAATGCTACAAAACATTTTTAAATGCTTAGTATTTAAAAACAAAATCATAAAAACACATGTAAAAATGATACTATGTATGGTTTTATCTTTCGACCAAAGTTTTTCAGCAAGAAAAAAACTAGAAATTAGTTTAACTTATGCTCTCCGTATTGTGTTGTTACATTTACTATTATGTGGATAAAAATAGTTGAACATTCATTTAACATCTGGCAACAACATCTGTTAAATTAACCTAAAACAATAATCAACAGATAACTGGTAAAATCATTTACTCTAATACATGTCAATGTTACCCACATGTCAAATTTACTCCATGTTACCTTATATATATAACAAAATTTAATAAGCTCTGCATAATTAGATGATAATTATCTTAACTTCTGAAAAACACATCCTGTTTTTTTTTTCGATAATATAAAAACTGACAATGTGTGTATTTGTTTTAAAATTTTGGAAATATTTTGTAAAATGGAAAATATGGAAAAGTATTTAAAAAGTTCATTTAGAAAATAACACTTTTATATAAAAATTTATATGATCAAAATTAACAATATCTACCAGTACAAAACAGAAATTTTACTAAAGAAGTAATCTAATAAAGTAAGAATTAAATCTAATTTAAAATTTTTCAAAATTAAATAGGAAAGATTAATTTTTACTTTTATCTGTACAAAATATTTCATCTAATCATATCCACAATAAAAGCAAATTTTCTAACCTTTCCAAACAATATTTATTTACTGTTTTTACCAATGGTTGTGCAAGACAGTGCAAAAATTTTATTATCTATGCCAACTAGAGAGCAAATTTTGCTTTAAATCTGAATAATTTTTGTCCATGTCCATGAAAGTCACTATACAGTAGGATCAGAAATGCTGTAAAAGGATTGACAGTACAAGAAAGTTTGAAACAACCATACTAAAACTAAATAAAATAGAACCATCTTGAAAAAATTGTTTTTTTCAAATTTTTTTCAACTTTAAATTTAAAAAAATAACTTATTTCATTGTGTTATTTGGTGTATATATATATATATATATATATATATATATATTATATATATATATATATATATATATATATATATATATATATATATATATATATATATTAACTATTATCAGAACATTTGTTATTAATAAAAAAAAAATTGGTTTTAGCTACCATAGAGGTAACCATACTAAAGAAACTATAATTCAAAAATATATATATTTTATTCCTTACGACTAGAAATCTAATTAAAATCAGGTTAATTTTTCTTAAGTATATTGCTATAAAGAAATAATAAATTGTAATTTCAAAATAGATGTATTTTCTTTTTGCGTTGCGTCAACAACTTGCAAAAGAAATTGCCAAAAAGAAATCGATGTACAGTTAAACATGATAGTAAATTGAATTAGATTAAAAGATAAGAATTAGTTGATAAATAACATTGATCAGCCACAGATTTACAGAAAGTCCGAATTAGTTGATAAATAACATTGACCAGCCAATCAGATTTACAGAAAGTCATAATTAGAACTGCAAAATCTCAAGAACTGCCTAATATTTTTGGATGAAATTTTGCGCCAAATTTTTTTTTATAAGTACGTATCAAAATTTGAAACAAAAAAAAAGCCACATGGGTTATTTAATGTGGAAATACACATATATTTACTACATACAAATATAGAAAAATCTAACAATTTGATAATATATAAAATGCGTATAATTTGAAACAAAATATTTTTTTTAAAAAAAATTTTTTTTTTTTAGAAGAACAATAACATTACTTTTTTATAGGTTAAAACTGACTTCTCAAACTCTAATCCTCAGTCTGGTTTGGGTTTGAAAAAAAAAATTCTAACAGAAAAAAACTATACATTACTTATAACAAATTATTTTAATACTATATATTTTTGTACATCTAAATATATATTACTAACATACTAGCATGGTTTTTTAGTTTTTTTCTTTGTGATATTTCGATTTTTTTGATACAGATTGCCATCAGAGATAAAAGAAAATTACAAAAAAAAAGTTAAAAGTATTACAAAAAAACATCCAAGGCATTAAAAAGAACCCATAAATGATTAGATGACAACATAAATTATAAAACCAGCAACTATTATTACTAAATATGTTTGTAATAAAAGGCTCTAACTATTTGTAGATTATTTTTTCAGTTATCATGATTTATAAATAAAGGAATGTGTTTTATTTCCTGGTACATTGAGGCGCAATTGATTTCGAGTGATTCTTTACCTTTACGTTCACCATTGTGTGATTTTATTGTAAAAGTTTTTGGATTTATCTAATCAAAGATCCCATCACATTCACGATCATGTTCAGTTGCCAAATAGATGCATGCCAATTACCTTCATATTGTTATTTTGATGTTTAATTCATCTTGTTATTATTAATTCTATTTCTCTAATATATATACAACAGAAAATGCTTGTACACACTATTTGTTTAAAATTACAAAAGATATTTATCAACATAGGCGGTATGATAAAAACTATTTTTACACTGTGGGGTTTATTTTTTTTTTTACACATTTTTGTACTATTCTTAAGAGCCCAGTTATTTAATCATTTGTTGCTTTTTTTTTTATTTTCATTTATATCAGAAAGGTAGACTCTTCTGAAAAATAATTATTAACAATTATTTTAAATATAGATTTATCATGACCCTTTTTAACAATCATGTTGATTAAGAACTGTCGCAAATTTTAATGGTATGAGATACAAAACCTTTAAAAACATCCATAAATATTTTATGTATATATTTAATATAAAATATTTTCAAGATTTGCTTTTGATTTTATTTGTTTGTTGGTGATAGCAGACTTTTCAGATTTTTGGACTTTGAAGTCATAGTATGAATTATTAGTTTTTGTTATATATCCAAACTGTTTATATTATTTTTTATTATTTTTCATTTTCTGATGTAAGGATCTTGTTTATTAAATAATTCGAGATCATGATTTTGTATAATATTGTATTGAATTTTGCATAGCAATATAAAACACTTATATTTAAAAACATTTGTAAATAAAAAACAAGCAATTTTTAACGTAGGCGTTTTACTTTAAATTACCTACAACTTATATTTTATTTTAAATTACAACTTTTTATATGATTAAAAATAAAATGTCTTTTAAAATGGATAATTAATAATACTGAATTTCAGTTAGATAAAGCTGCAATGATAAAAAATATAAAAAATACCTGTGTGAATAGGATACCTTCCGGTCATTATAGCACTTCTTGAAGGTGTGCAAATTGGTAAGACATAGTAGTTGTTAAGTATAACACCTTCTTTTGCAATCTTATCAATATTTGGAGTTGGTATTTGTTTTGATCCATGAAAACTGACATCATTGAAACCCTGATACAAACATATATATATATATATATATATATATATATATATATATATATATATATATATATATATATATATATATATATACGTATGTATGTATTTTTGTATATATATAAGTATATATATACAAAAATACATACATACAAACATATATACATACATACATACATACATACATACATACATACATACATACATACATACATACATATATAAGTATTATGCATAAACAACAGCAACATACTAAATAGATTTTTCCTAGTGATACTTTGACTTGTTTTACAAATCATGTCATTGGCATGGATTTGCACAAATCATGTTATTGACATGGATTTACATAAATCATGTCATTGACTTGGATTTACAAGCTCATAAAAGACAATGCTCACATTATTCTATACAAGAACAAATAAGAGATACAAGAACAAATAAGAGATTTACAGAGGTAGAGTATGGAACCAGGATAAGGGCCAGCAAGATAAAGAGAAGCAACCTTAACAGATACTAACTTTGTCATCGATTGTATATATTGTTTCCATTAGAGGTTAGTAGTCAATGATAATCTAAGAAGATGTAAAGAAAAGGACTCAGTGAGAGGGAATGTCAGAAAAGATGGGATAAGAAAGAGAACTCAAAAGGAAAGAGTGAGAGGCTGTGATTAATCAATATAGAAACGCCAACAATATTGCAATATTTGTTTGCAGTAAATAACTGAAATTTATCAAAATTAACAAGTCACTGCAAGACCCTGTTAAGAGCTGTTACCAAGACCCAAGCTGTTAAAAGCTGTTACCAAGACCGAAGCTGTTAAAAGTTGTTATTAGATTCAAGATCCTGTAATAAGTGATCAAAAAAAAAGTATAAAGATAAGTCGTCAGCAAATAGAGCCACTTTAAATATATGATTTCCAGGAAGATCATTAATGTAGATAAGAAATAATATAGGACCAAGGAACCCTAAGATACCCCAGAAGTTACTGGAAAAAGAGAAGAGTGGCCTTCAAGGATGACTTTAATACTGTGGCTATAAAGAAATCATTTGATGACCTCAAAAACAAGTGAAGCAAGCTTATAGAGAGGACCAGCATGCAAAACCTTAAAGAGCTTTAGATATTTTAAGAGCAATAGCCCTTGCTTTGTCACTTCTATCTAATGCACAATTGAATCTTTCAGAATAAATTTTGGAATATTTAGAAATTTGTTGATCAAAGACCTTGCTGATAATAGAGAGAAGGCTGATTAGAGAATAGTTCGAGGGATTAGAAAGAGTTCCAGAGTTTTTAAAAATTGGAACCACTTATAGAAATAGCCATTTTCCAGCAAGCAGGAAAATAAGATTTAGTCAAGCACTTATTAAATAGTAATCATATGTACTGATGATATCAACTGTATGGATTATTTAGCATCAGTGTCGGCTGATGTCTATTAATCACTTTTTGCACAACCAGAAACCAGTATCGACATCAGCCTTTTATAATTAATTTACCAATTTTCCAACCGATGGCATTTTAATATTTTTATCCTGCATTATGATAATAAATAAACTAAACTTTATGCATTATCTAGAACTTTTGTGTTATGTTTTTATAGTGACTTTGTTTACAGGCAATATTGTTTATTCTTAAGATGATGTGTATAAGCTTTAATTTAACAACTGAATGTACTTTTTATTACCTTAATGTTGTTTTCAGAATAATTTTATTTTGTGTTGTTCTATTGTTACACTTAAAAGTAATTTATTTAAGCATTGTTATCTATATGTATTCAAGTATAGCCTACTAAACTTCTATTTTATTTCTATTTATTACTAGCTGAGATTGGACCTGTAAAAATACGGGTCTTTGTAAGTCTATTCCAAACCAAACTTTTCTATACTTTTTACTTATATATCCTAGCTTTCTGGATCCATAAAATATGGGTCTTTACCAAACCTACTATTTCTATTCCACACCGATTATTTCTATACCTATTCCTTATTTTCTTTATTCTGAAGAAAAATTCTAAGAGCAAAAAACTTTACATGCACACCTTTTCCGGATACGTAGAGCTTATAAGAGACTTATTATTAGGTTTGTTTTTCTGCTAAATGTATTTTATTGATAGCTCAGTGGTTAAGTGTGCTGTCATCAGTGTTGTTTTGGGGGGATTAAGACCTCCTCCTAGCGTAATAAATTTTGATATTTTTTCAATCTTGCTTATATATTTATAGCAAAAAAAAAATAATATGGCAAAACAGATTTCTAAAATTTAAAATAAAATTTTAAGTTTTCTCATTTTATAAATATATTATACGCAATTATTCCATATCATGCCTGCAAACTCAACATAAGCTAAAGACGTTTACACTAACAGACATTTGTATGTAATGCTATACAAATGGAACTAAAAAGATCTTAGACCACTAAAACATAAAAAAAGTTCATTCTTATGATTATGATTAAAAACTAAAGAATAATCAACGCTAATCTAAAAGTTAAGCCAAAAATATTTTGCGCAATGGCGCTAATTTGTGACCAAAAATAAACCTTTATAGGTTAAGTTTCCTTTTGCAATTATCTTACATTTTTTGATTATTTTTAATTATAGTAGTAGTTTTGCTGATTAATTGTCCATTTTGTCAAACAATATCTTGAATGACTTTACATCTTTGGCATTCATTATCTGCTTAGGGAGCAGATAATGAATCCCAATCTTATTATTTTCCCACCTTAATTGTGATCAAGTTTGATTAGCACGAGCTGGAATAATTATTTATGCTTTAATCCATCGTATATTATTGATGTTTTGTAATATTTTATATTGCTGATTTATATCTTTTTGAAGGTGAGGATTCCACGGTTGCACTGCAAATTCAAGGTGTGGACATACGTAGCAAGTATACAACTTCATCCAGAGATTAACATCATGACTGACAAAAGCATGTTTTAATTGACCAATTATTTTACAAGGTTATGAGGAAGCTTTACATGCTTGTGCTGAAGATTTAAGATTGTATGATATTAAAGTACGTAGATTTTGTTCGCAGATAGTTTTTGCAAGATCAAGTCTCATATTAGTATTGTAATCGGTAAGAGTGTAATTTGACATTGGATTGTTTTTACTAATATGCATAACTTTACATTTATCTATATTAAGATGCATTAGCCATGTATTAGTCCAGTTAATAACATTGTCTAAATCAGATTGGAGTATACTTATACTGTTTTTGATATCTTTTAAATTTATTTTTGCAAATAATTTAGTATCATCAGCATACATTTTAGGTAAACAGAGATTGTTAGGAAGGTCATTGGTATAAATAACGAATAATCTGGACCAAGAACTGAGTCTTGTGGAACTCCACTTATAGCATCAGCTCATTCTGAAATCGATTCACCAAGAACAACTCATATTCGGTTAGATAGAAAGGAGTTTAACCATTTGTGAATTTTGCCTTAAATTCCATTTTTGAATAGCTTATCTAAAAGTCTTTTGTGAGAGACTTTGTAAAAAGCTTTTTCAAAGTCAAGAAATATTATATCGACAGAATGTTTATTTGCAACTAATTTAGTTGCAAAATCAAGTGTTTTCTAGGAGGTTTGTTATACAAGCTTTGTGTTTAACAAAACCATGTTGACTTAGATGTATTAGTTTAATTGCATATAGTTGATTCATTATAGCACCTTTTATAATGTGTTCCATTATCTTGCATGTCACTGATGTTAGAGAAATTGGTCTGTAATTGACTGGATCTTTTTTATTTTCTTTTTTAAAAAGTGATGTCATGTTGGCACAAGACCATTTATATAGGAATAGTTCCAGAATCAAGTGATAGTTGAAACAGAAGTGTAAGTGGTAAGGACCAAGCGGAAGCACATTCTTTTAATTCAAAGTCAAGAAAGATTATATCCACAGGATGTTTGTTTGCAACTGATTTAGTTGCAAAATCAAGTGTTTCTAGGAGGTTTGTTATACAAGCTTTGTGTTTAACAAAACCATGTTGACTTGGATGTATTAGTTTAATTCTATATAGACGATTCATTATAGCACTTTTTATAATGCGTTCAATGCAAATCAAGTGATAGTTGAAACAGAAGTGCAAGTAGTAAGGACCAAGCGGAAGCACATTCTTTTAATACACATGGATGAACTCCATCTATTCCGATTGATTTGCTGGCATCTAAATTAAGTAAAATATTTTCAACGGCAGCTAGTGTAATTATAAGATCTGAAAAAACAGTATTGGTGCCAAAGTTATAACTTGGAAGTGGATTATTTTGATTTTCTTGTACAAATGCTGAACTTAATTGCTTGTTAAGTATGTTCGCAATTTTGGTTTTATTAGTAATACTTTGTTTTGTAGCATTATCTAAGATTGTCGAGTTTTTTTCTATTGAACTATGCATACAGGCATTTTGGATTCTTATTGTTGGTAGCAAGTGAATGTTGAAATGTTTGAATACATATCTTTGTTTGTATTTCAAGGGCTCTCTTTGTAGTGATGCATTTTCTACCTGATGATATATAATGGTGCCAGAGTTTGTTTTTTTAATTTGAATTCTAATTTTTTTATTGATTCCTGAATCGAATGTCTTTCGCTATGACTTTCTAATCAAGAACTTTTAAGTTCTAATCAAGAATTTTTAAGTTCTTGATTAAAAAGAAGAATTATGTTGCATACAATTGCAACCAAAAAGGTATAAAACTGGTACAGATATATCATTTCACAGATAAGAGATAAATAAATAGTTTTTAAATTTATTAGAATATATCCCATAAAAATATATTCCATATATCTTTAATAGGAGTTTTTTATAAAAAATGTAAATAAAATCTGATTTCTAGTTTGTTTATATATATATATTATATATATATATATATATATATATATATATATATATAAACAAACAAGTAATATAAAAAAAACATATTTACACCTGATGATTGCATTTAACATGAAACTTATAGTTGTGAAAAATATGCAGTATGTAGTTTTATTTATAAATAATATATGTATATATATAT